ATCGCAGGCCGCAACTCTGGACGGGGACTGGAATCGCTGGGTTTGTGCAGGAATCGCTGGGAAGTCTCTCGGGCACGTTCGGCAAAGCTCGATGAAGCGTCGGGGTCCTTTCGGAAGTCTCTGGGAGCCTTTTTCTGGGGCACCTCGAGGAGTTCCAGGACGGCTTTGGCGCTTTATTGGGCTGTCTTGGGCGCTTGGGGCCCTCTTGGAAGCTTCCTGGGGCCGTCTTGGGCGTCTCCCGGGGCCGTCTTGGGTCCTTTGGGCGTCTCCAGGGGCCGTGTTGGGCTCTGTTGGGCGCCTCTTGGACTCGAGTGGACCCTGTGTTAAAACATTGGAAGGCAGTGGACCCGCCGTGACCGCTGGGAGCACCCAAGAAGCGCATGTGTTAAAAATGTACGTTTTGCGAAAGGATTGGGGCAAGGTTTGGCTTCTCAGGGCTCTCCAGGGGGTCCCGTTGGAGCCCTCTTGAAGCGTATTGGAAGCCTCCGGCGCCGGTTTGAAGCCATCTTGGGGCGTCTCGAGGCGCTTTGGTGCCGTCTTGAAACATCTTGAATTGTCCAGGAGCTGTTCCGAACATTATTGGGGCATTTGTGGTCGATTTGGGGGCCGCCCAGGGGCCAAAAATCGTAATGTGCCGACGAAGTGGGGACCATCCCCCAGTATGTGTATATATATATATACATATATATAAGTATATATATATACAAGACTGCATTGGCGCTTCGCGCCATGCACCTTGTTCCTTGAAGCTTTGGATCAGCTGGCATTCGTGCTATCCTGGGAGTCCTTTGAGGGGCCCTCGCGGCTATGCATCACGAAGTGGGGCAGGTTGCGGATGGAGGGGGTTGCTACACTGAGACGGCAGAGTGAGATGGTTTTGTTTTCATGCGCGGTTGTCTCTGAGGCTTGGCAAGCGGTTTTTGGGGACTGTCTTGGGCATCTCTTGGGCCTGGGTGTTGCTGTTTTCAGGATTATGGGAGTTCGCTTTCAAGCCTCTGGGGTCGTTTTGGAAGGGGCTGGCGGGCTTCAACGGCCGCTTGCAACGTCGGACGGTCGAGCAAGAGAGAAAGAACAAATCCTTCAAACGCTATGGGGAAATCGATCAATTGTGACTCTCAATGCTTTCTTCGGAGGACTCCTGAGGTTTTTCGGAGGCCTTTCGGCGCTTGTTGGAAGTCGTCGATGCTTTTGGACGCTCTTCTTCGGGCCGCGTGGTTTGTGAATAGCCTGTTGGAGCGGAGAGCTCTTACTTTCGCGCCCGGATGCCACGATTCTTGTGAGGGGAGCGGCTCCCAAAGGAAAACCCTTCGAATCCCGGGTTCGCAACCAAATTTGTATTCAAATGGTTGCGAACCCAAGATTCTGGCCAGAATGTGGCGCGTCAGACGGGGGGCGTGCCAGGCGGCGTGCTGATGCGACTTCGGGGAAAGCGGCCTTGCAGAACGTCGGCGTGGGCTTTGCGCGGGGGGCTCGTCGAGACGTTCGCTCTTGGACGTCGTTGGGCTTTCCGAACCGTAGCACTCCTACAGGGATCTGGGGGGTCTCTTGGATCCCCGATGGGAGGAAGCAGGAAGAGGAGGAGCAGGGTTACGGAGGCAGGGGCACTTGCGGGAGGGAGGAAGGGCCACTCGGGGGAGCCCGCCGGCTGTCCTCCCAAGGGCCCAGTTGCCTTCGGCGTGGTTCGGACCTCGCTTCTACTTCTTTCTTCTAAGAGGTTGAGGAGGAGGGAGGAGACGACGCGGGGGCGAGAGAGGAGGAGGAGGAGGAGGAGGAGGAGGAGGATTCGAGGAGGAGGAGCATCAGGAAAACGACGAGAGGAGGAGGAGCAGGAGGAGGAGGAAAAGGAAGGAGAAGAGAAGGAAAAAGAGGAAGACGAGGAGGATTTGCAAAGAGAGCGGGAGGAGGAGGAGGAGGAGGAGGAGGAGGAGGAGGAGGAGAAGGGGGGAGGAGGAGGAAGAGGGGGAGAACGTGGAGGGGGAGGAGAGTAGCAGGAAGAGCAAGTGGAAGAGAAGGAAATAGAGGAGAAGGAAAGAAGAGGAGGAATACGAGGAGGAGCAGGAGGAGGAGGAGCAGCAGCAAAAGGAGGAGGAGGAGGAAAGGAGAAGAGAAGAGAAAGGAGGAAGACGAAGAGGTCTTGCAGGGGGAGCAGGAGGAGGATGAGGAGGAGGAGGAGGAGGAGGGGGAGGAGCAGGAGAAGGAGGAGGAGGAAGAGGAGGAGGAGAGGGAGGAGGAGGAGGAGGAGGAGGAGGAGGAGGAGGAGGAGAAGGAGGAGGAGGTAGAGGAGGAGGAGGAGGAGGAGGAGGAGGAGGAGGAGAGGACGAGGAGGAGGGGGAGGGGGAAGAGAAGATGGAAAAGGAGGAGGAGGAGGAGGAGAAGGAGGAGGAGGAGGAGGAGGGGGAGAGGCAGAGGAGGAAGAGGAGGGATAGGAGGAGGAGGAGGAGGAGCGTTCAGCACATGAAGCGCACACGAATGTATCTGAAGTAATAGGAGCGACGGCGGAGTCCGTCCGACAGGTCGTGTACTTTCGAATGGTCCGGCGCAAGGCATATGATCAGTAATCCGTTCTCGGTTTCAGATTTCCACAGCAAGAGCAAAGTAGGACGTGAGCTGGCTGGTTCGCTGATGCGTGCGCGTTGGCGGCGCAACTCTTGCAAGCCCGAATGGTCGGAGGTTTATCCAATTGGGTGTTGGAGAATGCGCGTCGCGGTAAGCATCGAGAACATGAAGCGCACACGAATGTAACTGATTTATTCGGAGGCATCGCTGCAGTAAAAGAGCGCCAGCACTTGGCACAAACGGCTGTTCACAACAGGCGGAGACCACGCGGGAGGCTGGGCCACCCTAGGAGCCTCGTTGGGACCAATGTGGCTGACTTCGGAACCTCGCGGGCCTCCTTCGGAACCTCGGAGCTGCGTGGGGCTTCGGAACTTCGTGGCGCCCTGTTATGCTCGTTTGCTGTCAAGTTGGGTCCTTCTGGGGAGGTCATCAGCCTTGCTTGGGCCATCTTGGAGGCTCGATTGGGGCCCGCAAGCCCTCTCGGGGAGCCCCTCGGATCGGGTGGGCCGTCTTCAAGCGATCTTGGAGACCTCTTGGCCCCGCGGGGACGTCTGAAAGCCGTTTTGAACGCCTTGTGGGCCGTCGGGAAGCTGATTTCGCGATCGGTTGGACCATGTTGGAGCGGCCTTGGGTGCCTCTGCGCTTTTTTGGGGGCCGTCATGCGGCTGTCATGGGCCATCTTGGACGCCTGTCGGGGCTCGCTTTCAGCCACTTGTTAGGCCGTCGCGGAGCGGTCTTAGGTGCCTTTTCGTGTGTCTTTGAGTTTGGCAGGACGAGAGGCGAGAAAGCCAAAATCGTTCCTAAACATTAGAAAATTCTAGTTTTGGGTTTCTTCGGCGCTTCTTGGTGGCTCTCTGGGCGGCCTTGTGAGCGGGTGGGGGCCTTTTTTTTGTGTAGGAATTGTTAAAGTTCCGTGGCTGTCAATGTCAATATTCCCGGGGCCGTCTTCGGGCGGCGTGGCCGTGTCTGGGGGCTGTCCAAGGCGACTCCAGGCCGCCGGTCAGCGCTGGGGAGAGCCAGGGAGAGCGCCCCGGCAGGATGGAAAATCCGAAATTCGTTCGGGGGGGGGGGGCCCTCCCGGGGGGGGGGGGTGCTCCCCGGCCGTGTAAAAATACATAAATAGGAATGCACGTACACATACACAGACACAGACATACACATATTCATACACATTTACATACGCATAAACATAAATACATACATATACATATACATATACATATACATATACATATACATATACATATACATATACATATACATATACATATACATATACATATACATATACATATACATATGGATATACATATACATGTCTACAAATACATATACATATACAAATACATATACATATACATATACATATACATATACATATACATATACACATACATATACATATACACGTACATATAAACATATACATATACATATACATATATATACACTTTCATATACATATACATATATACATACATACATACATACATATACATATACATATCTATATGCATATGTACATATGTTTCGCAATTAGAAATGCATATACATATACGTATATGTATACGTAAACATAAACATATACGTGTACGTATACGTATACATACACATATACATATACGCATACATAATCATATATATACATACATATGTACATACATATATATGCATATACATATACCTATACATATACATATACATATGCATATACATATACATATACATACATATATACACAAACAACTACACATACAAATATAAATACATATATGTATACAAATACCTATCCATATACATATACAGATGCACATACACAAACATATGCATATATATATACATACATACATACACACACGTGTACGTATACATATACATATACATATATATATACATATACATATATATATAAATATTGGAGAATGAATATCTCTATATACACCTATTTATACACACATACATGCATACATACACGACAGACAGACAGACATGCATGCATGCACGCATGCATACATGCATGCATGCATGCATGCAGACAGACAGCGAGAATGATACATGTGTATATATAAATACACGCATACATGCATACATACATGCATGCACGCATGCATGCATGCATGCATACATACATACATACATACAAAATCACATGTATACAGGAAATCCGAGAAACGAGTGGACGAATAGCTATTCATGTCAGGAAGCAGCAGCAGAAGCAGCAACAAAGGCATGATACTCAGCACCCTGAGGAGGCCGGACGGGGCCCCTGATGCGAATCATATCCTGAAGCGTACTCCGATACAGAAGGGTGGCCACCCGTCCAGCACGTGACAATTCGCCGCATCAGGGAAGATGCCAACGTGAAAATCAGTATCGAAACCAAGATAAATCCGGAAACCTCTGCCCCCGGGGCTGACCTGCAGAAACCCCAAGTCGTCACGGGATGCCGATATATTTTTGGCTGCCCCCCAGCGAGAGCCTCCAGTGTCCGACGGCTAGGCCCAAGCAGCCGCGCCGGAACGCACCGAGGCACGGGGAAGCAGAGCGACGCCGGGCCGCGCCCGCCCAAGACGACGAGAGCGCAGCGGGCGGCGGGCCTGCCGCAGGCGAGCGGACCCCCACCGAAGTGGGGCCTGGGCGCGCCGGGGCGCCGCCGCGGGCACCTGCGCGCTGCGAGGGGGTCGCGCGAATGACAGCGAGCTGAGGAGCTGGCGCCGGAAGCGCGCTTCGCGGGATCCGCGCTGCACATCAGCGTGGGCAACTGACACCTTGGCGAGAGGCAAGAAGTCGTTCACGGGTGTTCGAGCGAGGTGGGCGAAGGCCATCCTCTGGCGGTGGGGCATCGGGGCCATCGCCGTCTCCAGGGCCGCTGGCGACGCTGGTAGGGCTCGCGGCGCTGGGGGTGGCGCCCGAGGCGCTGTGGGCGCCGCCGCGGGAACCTAAACCGCTCTCAGCGGAAGTGGTGCGCGCGCTTCCAGGGTTTCCCCCTCGGCTTCCCCTTCCTTGTCTGGTAGGGGCCGAGGACCGGCTGCTTCTTGTTGCAGCCAGGGATCGCCGCGGAGATCGCCGAGTGGTCGTCAGAGCCGAGGATGCCCCCCGCGTTCGCCACGTTCCCGATGCTGAAGGAGAGGTCGTTGGCGAAGATGGACGAGTTGGTTGTGCTGTTAAACCCCCGCCACACTGTGCTCCAGAACACCTTGATGTCGTGCTGGCCGCTGCTCAGGCTGCACTCCACCTGCATGATCCTCTGGCGGTGCATGTAGGTCCTGTAGGTGGGCTCTCTGATGAAGCCCCGCGGAGTACCCATGTAGCACATCGGGACATTCTCGAAGAGGTGCCTGCCGTCAGTGTTGGTAACGTCCTGGGGGTTGCCTCCACTGTCAGTAAAGGTGTACGTGTATTCATGGGCTGCCGTGTCGTTGAAATTATCGCTCCCCACGTTGAATACAAGCTTTGTGACGTTTGTCCCGACGGAGCTTCCCTCAAATGTGACAGTGCGAATGAGGAGGTCCTCGCATGCATCGTCGGTGAGCTTCCCGAACGTGGCGTAAACAATCAGGTCGGCAGCGGCCGGGTTCTCCAGGTCTGCATTCTCGGGCAGCACGATGACGGCGTGCTCCCCCGGAGTGGTGACGTGGAACTTCTCGAGGGCAGCGTTGGTCAACTCTGGGTCAAGCACTGTAGCGACGCCCGTGCGCGTTAGTGCGTCGCCGGAGGGAGCATCGTGGACGTTCAGACCGACCACGGCGGCAATCTCCGCGGCGGCAAGAAGCAGCCTAGCCATTGCGCAGAGAGAAGATCGCCGGACGTGTACCGAACAGTTCGCGGATGGCAGAATGACTTGAGCCAAAATGGCTACGGACATCGCGGGGTGCGAACTCCGCCACGTCCATCATAGGGTTGACAGGGCCCTTGGCCGCAGACGAGTCCAAAAGTCTGGGTGCTTCGGCACCCGTGAGTTGTTCACAAAACTGATTAAAAGCATTTTCTGAAACTGGCACGCCGGCCTCGATCCCAGACACCCCGTTCGGGACATGCTTGGACTGGCAGCCCGTGCTGCACGGCCGCCTGACACCGACATGGTCGGCATCCGGCCCGAAGGGGAACAGCCATCACGAACCACGCAACGAGTGAATCGGAGTACTTTTTCCTCGGCTATCCGATGCTGTCGTGATCAGTCTCTCTCAGACAAGGCCTGCAAAAGATGCTCTGGGTGGTTCGGTCAGGCTGGAGCTTCTGGTATCTAAAGGCCTGTTGCTGCGATCGAGGCTCCACGAACAGAAATCGACCGAACAAATCCGTTTGGGCATCCGGCCGGAAGTCGCCGCCGTCGCGGCCGACGTCGTCGCTGCCGTTGGCACCATCGTCGCCATCGTCGCCGCTGACAGCGCCGTCGTAGCGCCCGTCGGGACAAGGGCACCACCTCGACGTTCGGCCGAGGACGATCCACTTGCGCATCTCACAAGATCGGCCAGCATCGAGCCGAACAATTGGATCGAATCGGAACAAGTATCGAATCGGGCCGCATCGGCACAGAGACGGAATCGACTCGGATCGGCCGCGCCAGGGTGCGCATCAGCGCAACGCAACCATCGGGCCGCATCGGAACGTCGCCACCGAGTCGGAACGGGCCGGCTGAAACCGATGACATCGAATCGGATCGAAGTGGAGCCTGCCTCGCAATCACCAGCACCCGTGGGGCACGGAGGCTACCCCCAGGACTCCAGGGTGCCCGCTCGCCAGAGAGCAGAGCAGGGGAAGGGGGGGGAAGAAGCGCAGAGTCTTGGATGCGGCGCCTCGGGGCGGCAGTGGAGAAGCAAGAGGAGAAGCGTAGGCGGAGGGGCGTAAAGAACTTGCAGCGGGTCTCGTCCAGCGTCGTCATCGTAGCCAAGTTTTCGTTCTGCTTCAGGGCCTGATCGGGGAGGACGCCGGCCCTTTTCTCTCCCCCCCTCGAGCCGCAGCGGCGTGGGCGAACCACGGAGCGCTGGTCTACGTGCCACGCTGCCGTGAAGCGAGCTGCACACCAGGAAAGCAAGAACCATGCCACAAACGCCTTCTCTCTGGATATACGCCGATCTGGCGCGTGGGCTGACAAAGCCACACGCCTGATCTTCAGCTCTGCTGCAGGGGTTGCTGGGGTGGCTCTGCCCCGGGACAGGGGGAGAGAGGGCTCTTTACCGAAGAAGACCGGAAGAGGAAACCGGAATTGCCAAGCCGAACCGAAGAAGTCCTGCATTGCCAAGGAAAGAAGCCGGAAGAGGAACCGAGAAAACCTCGACCCACGAGGGAGGCCTCCTTTCCTCACCCCCCTCACTTTTTTGTTTCTTTCCCGTTCGCCCTGTCTCATTCCTAACCATCCTGTGGTGATGGGTCCTCGTTTTGAAAAGGCAGTCCCCGCGTCCCTCTCCTGCTCGTTCTCCTCCTCCCCCATCCTTCCTCCTCCCTGTCGTTGCCTCTGCCCGTCCCGTCGCCATCGCCATCATCATCCTTATCATGATCAACATGATCATGATCGTTATCCTCATCATCACCAGCAGCAGCAACATCATCAACAACAGCAACAACAACAACATCAGCATCAACAACATCATCATAATAATCATCATCAACATCATCATCGTCAGCATCATCATCATCGTCATCATCATCACCATCATCATCATTCATCATCATCAGCATCATCATCATCGTCGTCATCATCATCAGCATCATGATAATCAGCAGCATCAGCATCAACATCATCGGAATCAGCATCACCATCTTCACCCTCATCACCACCATCATCATCATCAGCATCACCATCATCATCATCATCATCATCATCATCATCATCATCATCATCTGCATCAGCATCAGCATCATCATCACCATCACCATCATCATCATCATCATCACCCTCATCCGTAACAGCCATATCACCGTCATCATCAGCATCACCATCATCATCGTCATCATCATCGCCACCACCATCACCACCACATTCATCATCATCATCATCATCATCACCATCATCATCATCAACATCATCATCACCATATTCTTCTTCTCCAGCATCATCATCATCGAAATCATCATAATCATCATCATCAACAACATCATCATCATAATCATCATGATCATCAATACCGTCAAGGTCAACATCAACATCAGCATCACAGTCATCATCATCATCGTCATCATCATCATCATCATCATCATCATCATCATCATCGCGGTCGTCCTCGCGCCATCGTCATGGCCATCGTGATCGTATCTTGTCAAATCCTCCGAGCCATGAGAGACACGGCATGGTCACTCATACCGTAGAAGTAAAGATCAACGTCTTGACAGACAATCATCATCCCCATGATGCAAATAATCATCGTCATCATCATCATCATCATCGTCATCATCATCTTCATCATCACCACCATCATCGCCATAACCATCCCCATGATCATCACCATCACCATCATCATCAGCATCATCACCATCCCCGTCATTTACATCATCATCCTCATCATCATCACCGTCATCGTCACCACAACCACCACATTCATCATCATCATCATCAGAACCCGTAGCATCATCTTCTTCTTCTTCATCATCATCATCATCATCTTCTTCATCATCATCTTCACCATTATCACCATCATCAACATCATCACACCTCTCACACACACACACACCTCACACGTCTCGTGGTCCCAGAGGAAGCTCCACCGAAGGCCTGAGCGGCAGGGCCAGCATGGCGTACCCGCACCCGACTCAGCACATCCCTCACACGTCTCGTGGGACCGCAGGGAGCTCCACCGAAGGCCTCAGAGACAAGGTCCGCAAGGTGCACCCGCACACGGTTCGACACACTCCTCACACGCTTCGTGGCTCCATTGGGGTGTAGGGGTGCTCCACCGAAGGCCGCAGCAGCAGGATCCGCAGGGTGTACACGCACACGACTCGGCACACCCCTCACACGTTCTGCGGCCCCATGCGAAACGCCACCAAAAAGGCCGCAGCGGCAAAGGTCCGCATGGCGCACCCACACCCAATTCGGCACACCCCTCACACGCTTCGTGGTCCCATGAAGAGCTCCACCGAAGGCAGCACCGGCAGGGTCCGCATGACGTACCCACACCCGATTCAGCAGACCCTTCACACGTTTCGTGGCCCCGAAGGGAGCTCCACCAAAGGCTTCAGCAGCAAGGTCCCCAGGGCGCACCCGCACACGACTCGGCACACCGCTCACACGCTTCGTGGGCCCGTAAGGAGCTCCATCGAAGGCAGCAACGGCAGGGTCCGCATGGCGCACCCGCACACGTATCGGCACTCTTTTCACACGCTTCGCGGCCCCATAGGGAGCTCCACCGAAGGCCCCAACGGCACGAAATTCAGCGTACCGCTCTTACGTCTCGTGGCCCCATAGGGAGCTCCACCGAAAGCCCCAGCGGCACGGTCCGCATGACGTACCCGCACCCGGGTCGGCACACCCCTCCACACCTCTCACATGTTTTCGTGTCCTCATAAGGAAAGAGCTCCACTGAAGGTTCCACCGGCAGGGTCCGCATGACGCTCCCACACCCGATTCGGCAGACCTTTCACACGTTTCGTGGCCTCAAAGGGAGCTCCACCGAAGGCCCCAGCGGCGGGATCCGCATGGCGCGTCCGCACCCGAGAGGCAGTGTCTGCATGGCGCACCCGCACACGATTCGGCACACTCCTCACACGCTTCGCGGTCCCATGAAAATTCCACCGAATGCCCCAGCAGCAGCGTACCCGGATCCGATCCGGCACACCCCTCACACGTTCTGTGGCCCCGAAGGGAGCTCGGCCGAAGGCCCCAGCGGCAGGGCCCGCATGGCGTACCCGCGCGCGAATCTGCACACCTCTCACACGCTTCGTGGTCCCATGAAGAATCCCCCTGAAGGCAGCAGCGGCACGGTCCGCGTGGCGTACCCGCACCCGAATCGGCACACCCTTCAATCGTTCCGTGGCTCTCCACCAAAAGCACCAACGGCAGGGTCCATATGGCGCTCCCGAACCCGATTCACCACACTCCTCACACGCTTCGTGCCCCTTATAGAAAGCTCCACCGAAGGCCCCAACGGCAAGGTCTGCATGGCGTACCCGCATCCGATTCGGTCCCCCTCACAAGTGCCGTGGCTCCATAGGGAGCTCCATCCAAGGCTGGACTGGCAGGGTCCATATGGCGCACCCGCCCCATGTCGTCACACCCCTCACTTCTCCCCCGTGCTTGTTCTGACTTGCCTCGCGGCACCCGCAACTTCATGTGGGCAGACCCTTCGTTAGGACGGTTGTTCCAGGGCCGGGGCCGGGGCCTGGAAGCACTGGACATTACAACTGGGTGATCTAGAGTTGACTGGTTGGTTATTGGCCCTTCCGATCACCATCACAGGTTGTCATCCGATCATATCAACAAGCATTGTCATTGGTCGTTTCTTCTATTTGCCAACAAGCCGCGCACACATACCGTGCAGTGGTAACAACCTATCATCACGATAAGCATCATCATCATCACCATCATCATCGGCATCATCATCACCATGAGCCTCATCATCACCATCATCATCATCTGCACCACCATCATGCACCATAGCCATACCATGTACGTGCAAGATCCTACAAGGGTTAGTTGCCTGGTACCACCTGATGTACATACACGACGTGCCTGGATTAATAACTGTTTGGTCCCACTTGAAGCATTCGGACGACATGTCTGGAGTGGTACTTGTCTGTTACCTCTTAATGCACGCAAGCGACATTCTTCAAATAACAACTGCCTGGCACAACTTGCAGCACACAGTCGACATGCTGGGAATGAGGTCACCGCGTGAAGAACATAGGCGCGATGCTGCAAGTGGCACTTCGCTGCGATCACCTGGGGGCAACAAACGGCATGCCTCAGACAGGATTTCTGTGTTACCACTTGAGGC